ATATAATATATATATATTATAATATATATATATATATTATATATATTATATTATTTATATAGTTAAAATTAAATTTTACAATTTTGCTGTATTGTTTCTTAATTTTATAAAAATTGTTTAATAAAAAAAATATAATGATAAATATGCCATTTATTCTTTTATTTTGGAATATGTAAAATTTATTAATCAAACCAATATCTAATAATTTTAATCAATTATTTAACTTACCAATGAATGGTATCATTATATAACATATCATGGCACATATGGCCATGGTGGTAACAGAAGAGACGAAAAATATGCAAGTTTTTCTGCAATCATCTAAAATTTTTTTCTCACGATGATCGTAGTTAACGTTCCAAAAATTTTGTTGCATGTATACAATTAGATTTAAAAACTTTTTTTTATATATTAATATAATGCATATTTTGGCCATACCCATTATCATAGTTATATTATTCGTCGTGGCATAAAGAATATCCTAGAATGAATTTTAATGAGTAAATAATATAAACAAATTGTGAAATATGTTTAAAATAAATTATTTAAATAATTTAAATATTCCTTTTCTCATTCATACTCATATTTTCATTAAATTCTTCTTAAAATAATAATTATTACTATTATTCAAAATCCATTAATAATTTTTTAACAAAATTTTGTTTTCAAATTTTTGAAAAACTTAAAAACTAAATATACGAAAAAATTCGGTCTCTAAGATTCTAATAGATTCTAAATCAATTCTTCGTTCCTAAATCTTTAAAAAATTAAAATTCTTTAATTTAATAATTTAAAGAAATTTCTCAAATTTTGTTCATTTTAGAAATACGAAACAATTGAATATACTCACGCCGTCGTACAACAATGTGAAATACAAATCTCTGCTATTGACGACTGTACTAAACAACAAATTCCACATCGTATATAAGAATAACATTTTTATCCGACGTTGTTCACTAGGATTATCAGACATCCATACCCCAACGTTCTTCAAGAAAAATGTCGACAAGTTAATCGATATATCCAACTGGCTTTCCGTTTGCATCGTGATTGATCAACGTGTCACTCGTGTATCGTCTCACGCGCAATTTCCATCGAGTATATATCACGATAATAATTAATAGGCGTTGTTGATAGCTTGTCGATTCCTTTTGTCTCATTTTTGCACGCACATTTCTTCTCTCATCGCATTTTCTTTTCTTTTTCGACAGGAATATTACAACGAAGTCAAGAAAAATCATTGTCACCCTTTCTATTGTATTATTGAAGATGGAATGTGTATTATTAATTATAATACGAAGGGGTGTAGAGCTGTAGGCTAGAGAACTTATACAGTCTTAAGATGTTCGACGATTGTTGTTGTTCAGAATTTAAAGAAGATTGATGATGGAATGGAATATTGTTGGAGTTTTGTATTGGTGTAAATGGTGGAAGAAGATGGTAAGAATAAATTTGGAAATATTTTTTTTGGATTTGTAAAAGAATTATGAGTAAGAATTTATTAATAATTTGGATAATTAATAATTAAATAAATAAATTTAATAATAAATTAAATAAATATGTTTATTTTTGGAAGAAATATTAGTTTAAAAATTATCCATTGATGTATAATAAATAAATTTGATCTTTATTTAATTGATTGATTAAAATTAGGTTTTTGTTCCATATTTTTTTGACATATAATTGAATTTTTAATAGTGCTTATTATTTTATGATTATTAAAATGATTAAAATGATCAATGAAACAATGTTATTTATTATTTTCAAAAGAATTATCCATCTTTATTTCATTCTTTCATTTAATGGACCTGAATGTGCAATATTTGATTCGAGACATTTTGTGTTAATGAAAATGTTGTTAAAAACGAGTTGTTATTAATTATAATCCATTTGCGTTTTCTATGCGATTATTTAGCAATGTGAAATACGATACAGCTGTGCTCAAAATCTAAAATATAAATAAGAAACTTAAACATTTAACAAAAAAAATCAATATTTTAAGATTCTGCATTAATGTTCATAAATATAATCATGTTCTATATAAGCGATTCTTATTCGTGTGCTTCATTTTAAAATTAGAGAATTAATAATCAGAGTTTAATTGTTTTTAAATTAAAATTTTTGATCAACAGCATAGAAAAATTTAGTATAAATACCATTTAATTTCCATTATTCTTTTATCACAATAAATTGTTATGTGTTTTGCATTATCACAAGAAATTAACAATTATGGATCCAAAAAAGAAGTATACAATATGAGAAGTATTTTCTAATTCACAAAATTTAAAAATCATTATTCTGTTTTGAATCTACATTTTATAAATCATGATTATAATTTTGATATGATCTATAATCGACTGTCATTTTAAATTATCATTAAATGATAAAATTATATGAGATAATGAATTCTCTCTTCGATTATTCATACAAAATACATTCTATACGTAGACTTGGATTATACTTACTTTAGTATATGTTTCTAATGATACGGGGAAAAATCCATTCGCAGTCAGATAACAAACACGTCTAGATCGCTCGATCACCATTATCAGATCTTTTCGAAGCATTTTCCCAAATTTGTCCATCGGCATGATCGTCCACAGTGCTGAGTAAGCTCCTATAGCAACTTTATCACTGTGCTCTATCACACCGTTGCAGCTGTAGGTGACCATAAAAATAAATAAATAAAAATAATAAAAACATCGAGCCACTTAACAAAAATACAAAAATCGAGCGTCTGGCAAAAGACGCAGTAGCCTAAAAGAAAAAAAAAATATTAAACAAGAAAATGTGTTTTTATTTATATATAAATAGAATGCTTTTCTAACACGTTTCTCCATAATATTTTAATAAAAACGATTATTGTATTTTTTTTATTCTAATTATTTAAAGGATTATAAAATATTTGATAAAAATAAATGTAAATTACTAACCACTAACACTTGATATCCAAATAGGCAAATTAATACACTGAATACCAACACTTGTCCAAGCGTAATCATGGTGTACACGTTCTCAAGATTTTGGTAGTAATTGATCAATGCCTGGTGATGTTGAACACATTTCTTAAATTGCTCGTAAAATTTGTGCATTTGTTTTGTTAATGTCGATTGCGAATCCTTTTCGCGTATTTTCTGCTCCGTGTCACACAATTTCGTAAGCCTGTACTGAAGTATGCGAAATTGCCCTGCCAAGTGTACGGCCATGATGCAGAAAATATTGTCGAAACAAAAACTGGAGATTCCAATGTAATACAAACATATTGCCTGTAAATGAAGTGACAATTATTTTTTCTTTGCTAGGAAAAAGAAGAAGTAAAATCGAAAATTTTTCACATTTAATCATATTTATGTAAAATATTGATAAACTTTGGTAAAGAAATGCATCACGTTTCCATTGAATAAGATTAATCAAAAAATTACCTATTTATTTTATTAAAGAAATAAAGAATAATAATTTTATTAAAGAAATAAAGAATATCCTATAAGTAATTGTTTACACGATCATTACATAAATTATTCAAACGATTTAAATATTATTTTCTTTCTTTTTAACCATCCTTGCTGAATTCTTAAAATATTAATTATTAAAGAAAGAAATATTTTAGAAATTTCAATATATAAGAAACTTATATATTCGTTTAATAAAATTCTAGAAAATTTATTTTTATTTATATATGAAACAAAGTATTTTAGAGTGATGAGTTTAAATTACTTGGATTAAAAATATAATTTCGTAATAAGGTGTCCTTGTTAGTGGCAAATTTATCCATATATTGAACGGAAACATTCTCTCCGATTCATTGCTTCCACTTTGTGCTGCAACAAATGTATAAATTGTTTTTCTTCTGTAAAATGGAATATCAAGATCAAAACAAATACAAAAATTGATACATAAAAATTTCGATGTGACTCATTTATTAAATTAAAAGCAATTTTAATTTCTGCGAAATGGTGGAATGACAGAGACTGAAAAGTCTGATTCTAGTTCTGTCTCCTATTATTTAAATGCGAATTTCAATTTCTTATAATTTGATAAATGAGTCTTAATTGATATTTTTGTATATACTCTTATATTTGTTTTGAAAGATGCTTAAATGATATCTCATAATTATATTAATATACTGTATATTAAATAATCGTTAAATATGTATAAAAGTTTACTAAATTTTAAATTTTATATTAAAAATACAAAATCAAATTTTGCAGGATTTAAAATTAAAAAATTTTTAATTTAAAATATAATAATACAATAAACTTTATTTTTCATAATGTAAAAATTAATAAATTTTACAATATTCTTATTTATTTTAAATTAATAAGAAGTGTTTAACAAAATATCTTCATATCTAATTGTTTATTTTGTTATAAAATAAAATGTTGTAAAATTTATTAATCAAACATAAATAATTTTAATTAATAGTTAATTATTCAACCTACCAATGAACGGTGTCATTAGATAGGATATTATGGCGCATATGGCAATAGTGGTAACAGAGGAGATGAAAAAAATGCAAATTTTCTTGCAATCATCCAAAATTTCTTTTTCGTGATAATCATAGTTAACGTTCCAAAAATTTTCTTGCATGTTCACGATTAAATTTAAAAATTTTCCTTTATATATTATTATATTGCATATCTTGACTAAACTTATTATCAAAGTTATATTATTCGTCACAACATAAAGAATATCCTATAACGAATTGTTTACACGATCATTACATTAAATTATTCAAACGATTTAAATATTATTTTCTTCCTTTTTAACTATCCTTGCTGAATTTTTAAAATATTAATTATTAATATTATTAAAAATCATTAATAATTTTTTTTTCTTACAAATTTTCTCTTTCTAAAATTATTTTCTAAAATTATTCGAAATATTAGCAAATATTAATTCTATTCGTTCTTCGAATTCTTATAGAATTAAAAATTAAGTAATAATCCCTCGAATTTTATCATGTATTAATTGGTTCAATTTTCTTATTTGTATCATTATTTCGAATATAAAAATTCAATTTTCAAAATAATATACATAATATTAATTTTGAATTAGCAATTTGATATTGACATTTTGTTGATTATTTCTATATACATTTATTTATTTATTAATAATATAATATTTTAATAATAATAATAATAATAATTATATAACATTAAATATAAATAAAATTTATATTTGAAATATTTAAATATAAATTTATTTATTATATTTTTTTTAAAAAATACAACGAAAATACAATTGAACATACTCACGCCGTTATACAACAATGTGAAGTACAAATCTCTAGTATTGATCACTATACCAAGCAATAACATCCAAACCGTGCAGATGAGCAACATTCTCATCCGACGTTGTTCACCGGGATCATGAGATATCCATACCCCAACGTTCTTCAAGAAAAATGTCGACAAGTTAATCGATATATCCAACTGGTATTCCGTTTGCATGGTGACTCAATCAACGTGTGAGAGTGTCACTCGTATATCAAGCGTATACTTCCAACCGTATATAACTCGCGATAATAAATTAATAAGTTTTGCTGATAACTTGTCGATTCCTTTTGTCTCCATCGTTTTGTCGTATGCTCGTTTTTTGTATTTTCATTATTTCTCTATTCTTCCCTCTTTTACGATAACATCCCAAATGATACGAAGTCAAGAAAAATGATTGTCATCTTTTCTGATGTATTATTAACATGACATTTACGTAACTCTGTAATGCGTGTAATAACTATTGGTGTGATTTTTTGATCGCGAATCTATAATCTATCAGTCTACGATGACATCGTTCAGATTTTAGGGAAGGAATGGAATATCGTTGGTGTTCTCTGTTTTAATGCGAAGTGGGAGGATATAATGGTTGAAAATTTAATTATTTCTTCGTGTCTGTTGTGGAAGAAGCGTGAGTAATATTTTGTTGATAATTTATATAATATGTTTGTAGTTTATGTAAGAATTGATTTGGCTGAAGATAATATTTTGTGTGAAATATGAAATTTTTGAAAATGGGATAAAGATAATAGTTGTAATCAATTGATATATTTAATTATTAGTTAAGTAAATAAATTTAATAATTGTTAAATAAATGTTTATTTCTGGAAAAATAAAAAAATTTGATTGAAATAAAATTAGAAGACACAAAAAAGATTGATTCAAATTGATTAATTGAGCATGTTTCCTGTAATGTTCCTGTAATTTTATTTGTATACAAATTCATGGTTTAATAGTAAATATTCATTATTTTATTATAATGGTCGATGTAATAATGTTGTTTGTTATTTTGAAAAAATTATCCATCTTTATTTTATTTATTTTTAATAGATTTGAATATACACTCGACATTTTACGAATTCTTGAAAATGAGTTATTTTCAATTATGTTATATATTATCTACTTGATTGCTTAATAATGTGAAATACGATACCGTAGTACTTAAGATCTGTAAAATATATAATTTATTTTTAAGTTTGAATATTTATTAAACTTTGGATAAAGAAAGTATTATTAATGTGCCAAGATAATAAATTCTTGTTTCAATATTCTCTTACCATTAATATCGATTAAAAATAATTTAAAATGTTCTGTACCAGCGATTCTTAAACTGTGATTCTTTGAGAGTTAATATACACAAATCTGTAAATAAGTTTTTTAAAATTTGACTTTTTATTTAAATCAACTACAAAATATAATAAATATCATGTAATTCTAATTAATTTTTCTTAATAAATATTAAAAGAAATTAATTAGAGTTAGAGATCCAAAAAAATATAAGTAATTATAAAAGGCTTTCTCATAAAACTTAAGAATGCTGAATCCATATTCTATTTTTATTAATATAATTATTACAATCAAATGTACATCATGTGATAACGAAATGATTATGTTGCTTTATGTGATACAAAAATGTATTGGATGACACATCGTTCACAATTATATCTACCTTTGTGTAAATTTCCAAAGATATAGGGAAAAATCCATTTGCTGTCAAACAATAAACTTGTCTGCATCGCATAATCACCATTATCAGATCTTTTCGAAGCATTTTCCCAAATTTGTCCATCGGCATAATTGTCCATAATGCCGAGTACGTTCCTACAGCGACGTTGTCACTTTGTTCCATCACACCGTTGCAATGAATGTGAACATAAACAATAAAAACATGGCGCCCATTAAAAGGAAGATGAAAATGGAGCGTCTCGCTAAAGAAGCGGTAGCCTAAGAGAAAAAAATATTGGACAAGAGGATATATTTTTTCTTTATTATTAAAAATATGATCGTAGATAGAAAACATAAAATCTGAAATCTAAATCTTTAAAAGAAAATTCGAATGTGAATATTAGATACATTCTTTATTATTTCGATTTTTTTTCTAATTTTTTAATTTTTTACAAGAATCTTTACAAGCATAATTTTTATGGATGTAATATAATTAAATTTGTTTCTTTTTTATCATATATTTGTTGTATAGAATATAATTGTTTATATCTCTTCTTCTGCAATTATTCAATTAATCGAATATTTGATAAAAATGTATTATAAATTTATGATACTAACCAGTAATACTTGATATCCGGATAGGCAAATTAGTATATTGAATAATAATACTTGACCAAGCATAATTGTAGTATACACATTCTCAAATTTTTGATGATGATCGATCAATATCTGATGATGTCGAACGTATTTTTTAAATTTCTCATGAAATTTATGCATTTGTCCTTCCAATATCGATTGTGAATTTCTTTTATATATCTCATTATCTATATCACAGAATTTCATAAATCTGTACTGAAGTATGCGAAACTGACCAGCTAAATGTATGGCCATGATGCAGAAAACAGTGTCGAAACAAAAATTGGAAATTCCAATGTAATACAGACACATTGCCTATAAAAAATTATCTCCTTTGTTCTATGAAAATAAAGCAAGAAATATCCGTCTGGATATTTATTTAATAATAGTTTTATTGTAAATATTTATTTTATTAAAAAATCTTAGCAGTATTTTAGAAAAATTTTAATGAAAGCAATATACCTATTTCATTTTGAATAAAATTTACAAAATTTTTATTTTTATTTTACAAAGAAATAAAATATCTTGAAAATTTTAATTATCGAAATTTATTCGATCAATTAAAAAAAATAATAACATTAAATTTAAATTACTTGAATAAGAAATGTTATTTCGTAATAAGGCATATTTGATAATGACATATCTAGCCACATATTGAACGGAAGCATTCTCTCGGATTCATTCTTCCCATTTCGTACTGTAACAAATATATAAATCGTTTCCTTTTTTCTGCAAAACGAGATATTTTTGGAACTCAAAACAATTAAAAGTATATAACAAATTTCGTTTTGACTTATTTATTAATTTATAAACAATATAATAAGTTTCTGTTATCTAAAGTAAAATAGATATTGTTTAAACTCTTGGGTCTCTCATTCAATCCTTGTTGTAGAAGAGACTATATATGTATTTATTCATAATCACATAAGCAAAGTGAGAAAAGAAATATAGAAAGATTAGGAATGGAGGAATTTGCTATAATTGGGTTTCATGAAGTGGGAAAGAAATTTTGCAGGATTGATTTAAATTTAAATTCTTTATAATTTAATAAATAAATTTTAATCAATATTTTTGCGTTAACTTTTAATTTGTAAAATATATCTGTTTTAATCTCTAAAATGTATTAAATGTTCAATTTGTATAAAAGTTATTTGTCTTTCTATTTGTGTCATTAAATTTCGAATTATATTTGCAGTTGTATTATATGATTAGGAAAATATTAGTATCGATATATTTTATTATTTTAAGTTGTAAAATCAAATTTCGAAAGATTTAGAACGATATTTTTAATATATAATAAAGATATAAATAATGAAATTATTTTTATCGAATAGTATGAACTAAAAAAAAAAAAGTTATAATATCGTCTCTTTAAAATTAATAAAAATCAACGAAATATTTCGCTATTTACTCGTTTTATTTTGATACATGAAAAAATTTATTAATCGAACATAATTTTAATTATTATTTTATTATTTTACTTACTTGCGAATGGTGCCATCAGATAGGATAGCATGGCGCATATACTAATGGTAGTAAGAGAAGAAACGAAAAAAATGTAAATTTTTCTGCAATCATCCAAAATTTCTTTTTCGTGATAATCGTAGTTAACGTTTCAAAAATTTTCTTGCAGATATACAATTAGATTTAAAAATTTTCCTTTATACAATAATATGATATATATTTTGATTAAACCCATTATCATGGTTACATTATTCGTCAAAGCGTAAAGAATATCCTAAAATGAATCATTCAAATAATTTAAATAATATTTTCTTCTAATACTATTTTAAAATAAGAAAATTGTTAATATTATTCAAAATCTATTAAAGATTTTTTTTTAATTCTCTCTTTTCAAAAAAATCTTGTTAAACTTATTTATTATTCTGCTTTAAAGTTCTAACAAATCATCAATTCTTCTTTCTTTAAATTCTTAGAAAAATCAAAATTCTTCGTAAATAAAATAATCTAATTTATCAATAATTTTATCCATAAAAAAAAATACGAAGCAACATACTCACGCCTTATACAAAAATGTGAAATCTGTATAAATCGTGTATAAATCTCTGCCATTGATAATCATACCAAGCAATAATATCCAAATTGTGTAGACGAGCAATATTCTCATCCGACATTGTTCACCAGGATCGTCAGATATAATATACTTATAGATATAACATACTCCAATGTTTTTCAAGAAAAATGTTGACAAGTTTTATCGATATATCCAACTGCCTTTCCGTTTGCATGATGACTGATCAACGTGTCTTTCATATATCGTCCCACGCGTAACATTAAACGAGTATAAATCACAATAATAATTAATAGCTGTCGATTCCCTTTTGTCTCCATCGTTTCTTGTTTCTTGTGTTTCCCTTATCGTTTGTTTCTTTCTTTTCGATTTGAGAATGTTGCAATGATACGAAGTCAAGAGAAATGATTGTCATTCTTTCCGTTTTATTATTAACGTGGCGGTTAATATAAATTATTCTACGAATTTTTAGTGAGATTTTTTCGAGGGCAAAGTGTATATGTCAGAGGTGTCAAAGTGTATATGTTTGTAATTTGTATAAGAAGTTGGATGGAAAAAAAAATATTTTGATTGAATTGTTGTAAAAGACCAATATGAATTTTGTGTAAAATTGTTTTATTTCTATGTTTATATATTTAATGATAAAGTTAATAATCATTCAGTTATATCAATTTAAAATTTTCCCGATATTAATGAAATTTAATCGAATTTTAAGATAAATTGTTTAATTGATTAATTAAACTAAAATGTTTTTTTGGAATCTATAATCAAATATTCTATATAAAAAAAATATATGTTATGAAGAATAAAATAATAATATAAAATGTTCATATAAATATATATATTTATGAAATATATCATTTTATAATTCATTAAATAAAATGATTTACTATTTCATAAAAAGAAGAAATATTTTGAAAATTTTAGATACAAAGAATTTATAATTCTATTTAATAAAATTTAAAAGATTTATCATTCGAGTAAAAATATTTTAATAATTTTAACTTATCGAAATTTATTATTCGTCAAACGAATAATAAAATAAATTTAAATTACTTGTATAAGAAATATTATTTCCTAATTTTTGATATCGGTAAATTTATATTGACATATATTGAACGAAAGCATTCATTGTTTCCTCTTCGTATTGTAATAAATGTATAATATATAATATGTCGTTTGCTTTCTTGTAAAACAGAACATTTTTTTGGAGGCCAAAATAATTACAAATACAAAAGTATTTATATAAAAATTTCGTTCGATGCTTATTTATTATTTATTACCATCGAACGATTATATAGTTATATATTTATATAATTTATTAAAAATATATATTAAAATAAAATAGAAATGGAGTTAAATATGGCAAAGACAGAGCAATCTTGTTTCACTTCCGTCTCGCCTCGCATAACGTAAGCCATTGAGGCATGGCACTCTCCCTACTCCTCGATTTTCCCCACTACTTTGAACGTCCGCACTTGTTCCAACGCTTTCGATTCAAAATAAACCTGAATCAGTTTTGTGTATCAAATTTTTATATTTATTTTGATTTCTAGGATTAATCTTTCAAAGGCTAATGCATATATAATTGCTACAAATTTATATATTAATATTTTATATATTAAATATTTAATTTACATAGAAATATATTGTCCTCGTATTTCGTTAAATTTTTAAAAATATTAGTTATATTTCATTATAAAATTAAATTTTGAAAGATTTAAAATGATATCATTTTTAATAAAAGTAATTAATTATTGAAATAAATTTCAATAAACGATACAAAGTAATAAATGTTGCAATATTACTGTCTCTTTTAAATTTTAAAAATTGCCATCTATTTATATAAATAGTTTACATGGGATTGAAATTTAAAGTTTAAATACAAATTTTACGATAAAATAGTTTCAAAAAATTTTTCACAGAAATATTCGTAGAAGATTTACGTTATCGTTATATCGTTTTCTTCATGGTATATTATATCACATACAAATACCGAACAAGAATTTGCGATTTCTTTCTTTAAAATAGAATAATAATTAATATTAATCATAGTTACATTACGATCTCAACCTTCTATTAATCAATTTCTAATGTACTTTGTCTTAATAATGTAAAATATGATACTGCAGTACTTAAAACCTGCAAACAAACCAAACAAATAACTATTTTGTAGTTATAAATTAAATTAATATAAATGTAACGAATCAATATTAACAATATTAAAAAGTTTCAAATATCAAATCATTCACACTTAATTTCTCTCTCTCTCTCTCTCTCTCTCTCTCTCTCTCTCTCTCTCTCTCTCTCTCTCTCTCTCTCTCTCTCTCTCTCTCTCTCTCTCTCTCTCTCTCTCTCTCTCTCGTCAATTAAAGATATCAAATTTCTTGATACTTTTTTAAAAAAGATTTCACTCACCCTAGTGTACGTTTCCAGAGACACGATGAAGAATCCCCGGGCTGTTAAGCAGCAAGGCACGCCAGACCTTAGAATTACGAGTGTCAAGTCTTTACGCATTGTTCGACCGCTTGCGCTCTCTGACAGAAATGGCCAAGGCCCGCCGTACACCGCCGAAGCTACGCTCGAGCTCTCTTGTATGATGCAGTCGCAGCTGTAGGTGAACATCAGTAATTGACATATACACGCTGCCAAATGGAAGCCGAAAATCAACCGCCTTCTAACGGGCGACTCTGGCTGCAAAGGTAATACAAATTGTTATTCTGTAATTTTTTAATATACTTTGAAATTTGTGCGAATAGATAATAATACAAATATCTAGTACGTTATCATGACGTTATATAATATTAATCAGACGATAAATTTATATATAAATAAATATATAAGAAAATTGAATAAATAAAGATGTGATATACTATACATAATTTAGAAATCATTTTATATTAATAGCTCACCAAAAGTATTTGATAGCCATCGAGGCATATTATCAAACTGAACGTCAACACTTGCCAAAGAATAATCAAACTGAATACTTTTTCGAGCTTCTCGCAGTAAGCTATGAGCGCCTGATGCTCGCGGATGTATTTTTTGAAAGCTACGTAACATTTCTTGGCAAAGTAGGACGAGTTTATAATTTTTTTCTCATTTTTTTCCTCTAATAAATCAGCTATGTTGGTCATTTTGTATTGCAATATTTGAAATTGGCCGGCCAGTTGTAAATTCAAAACGCACAACAAGTTGTCGAAACAGAAATAACCAACTCCAATGTGATACAAGGATAAAACCTGTAACATTATATTTTATCAATCTTTTGCAATTTAATCTTTTGCAATTGAATTCAACGCTAAATTAATATTTAATCTTAACTTGAGTGTAATATCAGTGTTAAATAATTATCAATTAATGTAATCAATAATTTGATTCTTATATTTCTAAATTTGTTAAATATTCACACGATTTTTGATTCCCTCAAGAATATTTTAACAATATATAGTTCCTAAACAATAACGATGATTTATCCCTTGAAATAAAATAATATAAAATATTAAAAAAATATTATATAATATATAAAAAATAAATAATAAATAATAATATTATAATATCAATTATTATTTATATATTAATATATCTAATAATATAAATCATAATTCTTTAATTTTTCTATGATATAATTAAAAAATACTAAGTACTTGTATCATAAATATTATTTCATAATATGGCAATGTCGATTATATATTGATATATCTAATAATCAAAATAAAAAATCTTTAAATAAAGTCTGATTAAGTAATTATATCATGAATATTATTACATAAAATGGCGTCAATTATATATTAATATATCTAATAATCAAAATGAAAAATCTGCGAGTAAAGTCTGATTAAGTAATTGTATTATATGAATATTATTTCATAATATAGCAATGTCGATTATATATTAATATATCTAATAATCAAAATGAAAAATCTGCAAATAAAGTCTAACTAAATACTTGTATCGTGAACATTATTTCATAATATGGCGACGTCGATTATATATTAATTTATTTAATAATCATAATTTTAATTTTTAATTTTTTTATGGTTATGATTAAAAAGAAAAATCTGTGAATAAAGTTTGATTAAGTATCTGTATCGTGAACATTATTTCATAATATGGCGACATCGATTATATATTAATATATCTAATAATCATAATTTTAATCTTTAATTTTTTTATGGTTACGATTAAAAAGAAAAATCTGTGAATAAAGTCTGATTAAATACCTGTATCGTGAACATTATTTCATAATATGGCGACGTCGATAGCGGTAAATTGACCCACATATTGAATGGGAGTACCCTTTCCGATTGATTTTTTCCGATATTTTCTGAAATTGAATAATTTATTAACTCGAATTGAAATGAAAGAAATATAATAATTATTATTTTATTGCAGGGTTAAACAAAATTCCAAACTATTTTGCATTTAAAAAAATTTTTTTTTTCACATTTACTGATCTTCTTTGAAACTTGAGATTAAATAACTCACCGACGAGCGGACTGACGATGTAACAAACGAGAGTTCCTTTCGTGGAGAACGTAAGGAAGCAAACAAAAATGATACATTGACGTCGACAATTAGTGAAGATTTGCTGCTCATGCTTGTTATAATTATCCTTGTAGAAATTTTTTTGCGTATAGAAGATTAGGTAGAAAAAATCTTTTTTATTCAAAACTATTACAAATATCTTCAACAATGGCATCGTTATATATATAATGTTACATATATTAAAAAGACACGTCTGCAAGCAAAGGAAATGATTCACATCTACGCACACAAAATGTTAATATATGATGCATCCTTGGAAAAAAATTGATTACTCTCTCCTATTTCACATACATATATATATATATAATAAAAATTTAAAAATTTTTCTTATATCTTTTTTAAATAAACCAATCGTACAGCAATTGCCATGTAACATATACCTTAAAAGATTTATCAAATCAAAGAATTAAAATCACATTATATTATACATTATGAGAAAGTAGGGAGATTATTCCACTATCCAAAACCAAAACTGATCCATTTCATTTCTACAATCTCTCTCTCCAAAAATAATCTCTCTTACCACCACTTACGCTAAAATCGCCGAAGGAATAATAAAAATCCGTGAACTCTATCCACAGGGCGAACAGCATCGCGGCAACAGTGTAAATCAGGGCGAACTTCCTTGCGCGCTGCTCCCGTATGCCGTTCGCCGTCCATAATCCGACGAGTTTCATAAAAGTGGCGGTCATGATCATGGATACGTCGCCGCCGTTCAGAAAGCCGTTCATATTACACCCCTGATGATCGACTGAGGCGGAGCATTGAACCGATATAACAGACAAGCGTGGAATGTTGGAAATATTTCTGCATCAATTATTACGCGGCCGATTCAATATATCTTTGATCCGTCGATTTTTTATTCGCTGCAATCCTCGCAGCGCGTACTTTGTATTTATTTCGTACTTTGCCATTCGTTAAATACACGGTGGGGCGGATAGGGAACAAGAGGGAGGAAGGAAGGAAGAGGGGAACGAAGGGAGGGACGCACAAAGGGGATTCTAATATTTCTCGTGGATTGCGGATCGATGCATTATGAATGGATTGGAATGGAAACTCGATGAGAACTTTTTTAACCGTAAAATCGAAACGCTTGTTGGAAAAGTCGTTTTAGAAATTATCGAGTAGGTTGTTAAATATGAAACGAGAAAAGGAGGGGGGCTGTAATTGTGGCTTCGATAATTTTCCTCGAGATAGATAGAGAGATGATAGTCTAGATATTGAAGTTGAAGTTTTATTTCGTGAGAATGTGGATTCGTGATTTTTTTTGGAAAATTTTAGAAAATTTTAGAAAAGATTAAGATATAAAGTAATAAGGTAATAATAATAATGTATTACATATTTACATAAGAATTAATTTTTCTTAATATACGTTTGATTCTGCGTGATGTTGAGTAAGTGAATTTTATGAAACGAATAAAAGAATCTTTTGTGTTCTCTAATATTTTTTTTGTTAACGAAATTTTATTTTTATTCCTTTTCACACATAAATATAATTCGAAATTAAATGTACATCTCATAATTCAAATTCATTACGATTTTTATATATTCGAAACTGATGCCATTTAGCCAATTATGTTTTAACTGTATTTTCGGATTGGTTTCTCAGCAATGTGAAGTATGACATCGCGGTACTCAAAATCTGTAAAAATTAAATGCATACTTTTAAATTTCTATGTGTCATGAATAAAATCTGATATAATAATAATAATAATAATAACTATCATGTTTTCGTGTCCAAAATATTTGCATTAATACAGATATAATATAAAAATAATAAGCAAAAATTTATTTTTTTAATAAATTAAATACGAGATATTAGTGATAAAATTTTACTTATTACCATTATTCACTGATTCATTGAATATTTTGTGCGTTTTATTTATTATAAGTATTTCTAATTTCAAATTTATCACATATTCAATATAATATCACACAAGATCTATGATTAATTTTAAGATACGATTATTCATTTCATCTATTGATAATTATAAACAAATTCTTGAAAAACCATTTTATAATCCATTTTTAAAAATTGCTTTCATTATTTTTGTGAAAAAAAAAAAGAAAGTCATAAATCATATATTAAGAATTATCAGAATTTTCATCATAGAGAATTGTCACTCTTAAATTTTTTTTCATAACGTTTTAATATGGTAAAGATTGAAATTGCAGTACTCAAAACCTAAGGAAAAAGAAGAAAAAAAAAAACGACAATAACTATTTTCATATTTTCATATTAAAAAGAATTTTACATTATTCTCTCCTTATTATATACAAAATTCAATACAAGTATAAAATTAATATTATTATATCAGATTTAGAAATCTATTTTTAAAATTCTACTAATTGAAACATTGATTTAATAAATCAAATAAGTAATTACTCAAATGACGTATATTAATAATATTTTGAATAATTGTAATATGCAACGAGATGAAAATGATAAAAGGAATTCAAAACTGATATATATTGCAAAACTTTAGAAAAATATTTTTAATTCGAAGAAGAGGAAGAGGTTACGTTTGGATGGAACGAAAGATCACTTACTCTGGTATACGTTTCGAGTGACACAGCGAAAAATCCGCACGCAGTGAGGCAACACGGTGTTCTCGACCTTGTGATAACGAACATCAAATCTTTTCGTATCATTTTCCCGTATTTATCCATCGGCAAGAACGACCACAAACAATTGTACGCGGCATCAGCTATATCCATACTGTCTCTTATCAAGCAATCGCAACTGTACGTGAACATCAACAGTTGACAGATGCAACCCGTTATGTGAAACGCGAAAGTGACGCGTCTTCCAAAAGGGGTATCTTCCTAGGAGTGAAAATTCATCGATCAACAACAATTGAGAGGATATCCTTTCTTCTAAGAAGTTTCGTATAATTTAAGGAGAATAAAAAAAAGTCACAAATGAAATTTCGTGTCAATCATTCATGAATAAATAAGATATTGGAATATTGGAAATTTGAAATATTGGAATATTTGAAATTGAATATCTGAGTTATAAAGAAATGTACATCGAGAAGGATTGAAGAATAACGAAAGTATAAAAATTAAAATACGAACCATGAGTATCAGGTATCCATCGAGGCACATCAACAAGCTGAAAAGTAACACCTGTCCAAATACTATTGAATTGAACACTTCTTCCAATTTTTTGCAATATTCGATAAGAGCTTGATGCTGTCGAATGTAAGCTTTGAGCTTTGCGTATTCGTAGAAAGTGCGTGCCGATTTTTCATCGTAAATTTCATAGCGCTTTTCCCTTTTCTCGTGTCCGTTGCACGTATTGGCAAATCTGTATTGCAAGATACGAAACTGGCTGGCAGTGTGCAAATTTAAAATGCACAAAAGGCTGTCGAAGCAGTGGTAGCACACACAGACGTGATACACGAATACGACCTGATACAAAATATAATCATTTCATTTGTTTTTGAAGTGAAATTTCAATATTTCTGTGATTCCTATTTAATTCAACGTGGACGAAGATGTGTAAATCGATCGAATAAATTGATACCTGTACAACAAACATTACTTCAAAATATGGCGTGATTGACAATGGCAACTCGAGCCACATATTGAACGGAAGTATTCTGTCCGATTCGTTTTTTCCACGATTCACTGTAAACGTTAACCAATGTTTTATCAACAATTACGATTTTTCGACTTTTCTTTTCATTTTTATTTTTATTCAACGACGAAATATATACACACGCGTTTCGTTTATCATCTTACCCAGAATTGGCCTCAATATGAAACCTAAAACCGTCCCCTGGGCGAAGAAAGTAAAGACGAAGACGAGGTAGTTACAAGTACGTTGACACTTGTTCATTATCAATTTTTCGCTCGTGTCGTAATTCGAATGCCAAAAATTTGTTTTCGCATAATGAATTATGCCAAGCAGCTCCTCGTTATATATAAACGATGTTAACAGTTTGATCAAAACCAGAGACACAGTTATAATGTTGCACGTGACATAAATCGAATCCTGTAATTCAAAAAATATACAGATTATGCTATTTTATTGAATCAGAAAAAATTGAATATGCTTAATAATTTCTAATAATAATCCTCCTTTACAATCAAGATATTTTATATGAAACAAAGTTTTATGCAGTATCTTTTTTTTCTTTATTTCTTAGAATGCATTGTACAATTTTTTGAATATGCTTAATAATTTTTAACAATAATCCTCTTTTACAATCTTCTTTTAAGATATTTCATATGAAATAAAGTTCTATGCAGCATTTTGTTTTTCTTTATTTCTTAGAATGCATTGTACAATTTTCTGATTATGCTTATTTCTAATAATAAT